GGTAGCGAAACTCGCGTGTAGATACAGTGCTTTACTTCTGGTTGAGAAAACTGCATTCAACAAATAAGCAGAATTCACCTGAATCAGGAAAATGTTTTTTAAATCAGACTTGGCTTAGGCACATTGACTTAGGCACATTGAGATCCCTACGAACTCACCCCTATTCTTAGTTATGGAAAACCTGATGTTCCCTGATTGGGAACATCCTGAACTATGAAAAAATCGCTTGGGGTTACACTCAGATACAAAAGTAGGCGCTTGATGGCATCAATCGACTGAGGGCTTCTTGTGTTCATCTTGAGAAAACACACTGTATCACAAGTCCCCCAACAGTCAAATAATTGGAGAAGACAGTGAATAGTTTAATAAAATTTTTGAACCCACATCTATCAGTAGGAACAACCGCTGATATCATAAACAGCGCTTCCTCGGAGAATTCGGTATAATTATAAGAGTGGGGAACAATGAGCACTTAGGTTTCGGCAAAACATGGGGACATGAATATTACTGGAGTTCTATCCCAACACCAAACCGTTATTTTTAACACCTCAACACGTGTTTCAATCACCAAGTGATCATCTTCAAGAGGAAAATTGAACAGTTTAATCTTCCTTTATCCTTCTTCAAAGAGGAAGATTAAAACAAAGAGGAAAATTAAAACTTTGAAGCTGATCACTTGGTGATCGAAACACGTGTCGAGGTGTTAAAAATAACGATTTGGTGTTGGGAAAAAACTCCAGTAATATTCATTACTACACCAAGGTTCCAAACAGTGCATCATTAATCCTTCTTTAACTGTTTAATCGCTTGGTGATTAAAAATAACGGTTTGGTGTTACGATAAAACTCCAGTAATATTCATTACTACACCAAAGGATCCAAACAGTGTATCAAGGGGACATGACAACAATATCATTCACCCCACCTCTTGAAAGAGGTATTAAAACCAAACGGATACGATGTATCCACCAGGATTTGAAAAAAAAAACTCCCGGACAATCAGATCAATTGAAGTGCAACTCTTGAGTCTCTAGAATTTTTTGAAACACTGGAGAATCAACTGATTCCTAACCGATGCCAAAATAGGGTGTGCCTTCATTTAGTATTATTAGCTCGAAAAAAAAAAGCTCACGGATCGTTCTGCCGACTAGACGAAAAAGCTTAAGGGAGACATTTTTTATCAGACGAACAATTTGGTATCTGTACGAGTAATCTACTATTCTTCAGGCATTTGACATCTCTTGCTTGACACTTCGAATGCCTTCGACTATGATTGTCTATCAATAGGGTGTTGTATTTCAACGACTCATCTTTGTCTAGAGAACTTGTATACAGTCCTTTCTGGAAGGTAAAACCTTCCACGTCAGTGTTAAAGGAGCACTTTTGGATCTCAGGAACCTGTTGTTCACAAGATATTTTCAGTATACTGAAGGTGGTATTATTTTCCACGTGCAGATCGCTGTCAAGGACATTAATGGGTCTCGTAAAGCTAAGGGATGGTTAAATATGATTTATGCTCTCCTCAGGAGAGCATAAATGGATGGAAAATGGATGGAAATTTGATTTTCAATTTTTTTTTCATGTTTGCTTCCGACGGTCAGAAAAGCAAACCAGTTTTTCATCAATAATGATAACAAACGCTCCATGGGTCTTGTGGGAGGTTAAACGCATCCAAGACCCGAAGGCAGCTCCAACCAGGCAAAGCAAGGCCGTAGGCCCCGAAAGTTCTACAAGCAACGGCCATCCAAAAATTATATCAAATACAACGATTGGCTTGTTTGAACATCACAGGAGCCATGAAAACAACACCAACCGCATCAATGGGATCAATAACTAGTCTGTCCCCTCTGGACCTGTACATTAAGGAGGTTGCGTTAATGGTCATGTTACGATTGCGTACGGCTGGTGTAAACCTCGAAGTAGGAATGGGTCAACTGAGGCTGAGCCTATGGCGAGAAGCACTCACTGCGCAACCTCTGCTGCAGGCAACCAGTGATGCAATTGAACCCAAGTTTGTGTTTAATAAACCCTACAAAATACAAATAAAACGAAGTCAGATACTACAAATGCAATACGCATATATAAGCCTAAGCCTAAGGATTAAAATAGGAACTGGCTGGTGTCTCAATTGCCACAAAAACAATAACAATCTGCACTGATAGCAGACAAGCACAATTAGTCTTGAACAGACAACGTGTTACCTCATGGCTAGTAATAGAGTGCAACCTAGATTTAGCCTAAGCCTCGGTAGATAATAACATTATCCTGAGGTGGATTAAAGGACACGACAGGAATAAAGGTAATCGTATTGCCGACTCTTTTGCCGAGGAAGCAGCTGGACTAAGAATTTTAGGACTCAGTGGCACCTACGGCCTGATGACTTCGACAATTGCGGAGCTAGCCTAACGTTACACTCATGCTCAATCCCTAAAGAGATGGGATGGAATCAAAGGATGCAATCTTGCCAGGATAACCCTGGGTGACCCTGGGAAGCTGGCGCCGAAGAAATATCTGGCGGTGACCTGAAAAAGTAAGTCTACGCTTAACAGTAGGATTTTTGACTGGCCACTGTCAACTGAGAAAACACCTCCATGATATGGGGCTAGTGGACATATCTCTATGCAGGATGTGTTAACAGGAAGATGAAAACGTCAGGCATATCATATGCGAGTGCCCGGAGTTATCGTCAATAAGAGACTGTGTATTGTCTTGGCCTACACCGGCCAATATAAAGGAGATGTCTCCTCCTGATCTGTCCACCTTCCTGGAAAAGACAGGATGGACGATGACCTAGGAGGACAACTCCTCGTGAGGATGTACAATGGGTCACATGTGGCCTGAGTGCCTACACTCACCCTATCTACTCTACATATTGGAATTATAAAATCCGTTAAAATTTTTATCAAGTCCTTGGCAGAACGAACCAAGTGCTTGACAGGGAATATTGAAAAAAACTTCCCCGAAACACAATGAAAAAACCTTACGGCAATGTGCGTATAAACTTTTAAACATATTGGCGATACTACCTGTTTCAACATTTACCCTTGAAAGGACTTTCTCTTCTCTGAAACGCCTCAAAACTCTTTTAAGAAACTCCACAAGCCAGAAACGACTAAACGATTTGGCGTTAATGTCAATCCACCGTAGAATTGACATTGACACCGAGGAGGTAATTGATTTGTTTGATGCAAAGAAAGCTAAAAACTAAATATGATTTCGTAAAAAGATGTTTATATTTCTGTAATGGTTTTCTAATGAATATGTATTTTCATGTGACACCATTTTCTTTCTTTCGCTATTTTTATATTTATTAAAGAAACTCCACAAGCCAGGAACGACTAAACGGTTTGACGTTAATATCAATCCACCGTAGAATTGACATTGACACCGAGGAGGTAATTGATTTGTTCGCTGCAAAGAAAGCTAGAAAAGTAAATTTGATTTTGTTAAAAATGTTTATATTTCTGTAATGGTTTTCTAATGAATATGTATTTTCATGTGACACCATTTTCTTTCTTTCGCTATTTTTATATTTCATGTTTTTCTACTGTTTCACCAAACCAAACCCCCCCCCCCCCCGAAGTTGTTTTCTGGCTACGGCCTTGAGGTAAAGCAAGCAAAAGTCGCAATCAAAATGTATTCGAACAAGCGAAAAGGATAGCGTAACCGCAACTACCTCCCGGATGACCAAAGAAATTTCTATCTTCCCTTACCAAAAGCAGGAGCCCCTACGACTAGGCTGCAAAGAGGACACCAATCATTTATGCATTATCCAATCGGATTCTTTCGTCTACTTTCTGACGGATACTGGCAGTTGGGAAGTAACAGTGCATAGTACGATCTTGACAGAAATCAGGAAGATGCAATTGATTAGTTGTATGGTTATTTGCATTCAGATAACCGATAGAAAATTCGTAAAAAAATACAAAAACGAAATCGTGGTTCATATTCATTTTACTGATATTTTTATTTGTGCTTATTATTGATTCAAAAACTATAGAATGTTGGTATCAGTAATCTAAGTAATAAAATAGTCGAAGAATACACACATCAGCTCTCACAAATCTACATGGAACAAAATTACTTTCAGTCAGCAACTGTATGGTCCTGTTTTGTCCTTGTTAGGCTGTTGTATTCCCAACCAACTCTCTACCACATGTATTTACTTTTATTTCAGTGTATGTGAACTGAAAAAGAAATCTCGTGCACACGTCTGAGTCATTGATACTACTGATTCCTAATTCATTTTGTTGTATCTTATAGAAATAATGCTATTATTTATATAACTGAATTGTTAAACTGACTCTATAAATGGGAAACTGGTGGACAATAAACGATACTATTATCATCATCATCAAACGTAAATTTAGGGAATATCTTTATAAATCTTTGACATTTCAAAAAGACAACGAACCAAGTTTATTGAAGTTCCATAATAACCAATTCACGAATTTTCAAAAATAAGAGATTTCAAAACTACATCAACAGATGTTAGGAATCCAAAAAGAGAAGTAATGGTAACTAAAAATGTCTGGGAGTCATTCGACAAAAAGAATCCCGTTTCAGATAGGTTCAAGGCACCAGGCTTTTGGATACTTTCGAAAGTCAAAAACCAATATTTTTCAATTTATGGATTACTCTATTCTGAATAACCGGGAATTTTTCCGGGGTATTATGTGTACTCGAGAAATCACTGATACAGAACTGAAAGTGAAAGTGGCAACATTAGAAATGAGTATTTATTATAGATCATCTTCTCTTGATTTAGCTTGGGTAAAACGAGCGCTGAGAAGTGTGTTACAGTTTTGGTGTGTGGCAACAGTTTATGTTAGAATCGTTTTGAGGAAAAGTTTATCCAGTTCTATCTTTTAGTACTGTAGAATAGTGTAAATCACCCCTTTTCCGAGCTTAATCCGTCCATTTTCACTTTCAAACTAACAACCAGTTGCTTCTGGCCGAAACTAGAACCGATCCTCATTTAAATTGAAGTATACTTTTCAGACCTGGGGACGCCGTTCTTTCCCGGCGCTCCCGAGCTATGGCACCATCCTCTGGCGTACTCCGCGGCCGCTGAACTACCTGGGGCAGCTCTTCAGCACGCCACGCTAGTCCATCCGGCGCTTCATCCCCAGGTGCCTGTAAGGTCTTACCTTTGACTATCTACTGACAAGACTCTGGACTCTCAGCTGCAGCAAGCAGGTGCTCCAGTTCATCATCACGTAAGTTTAAATATTTATTAGAATAATGTTTTACACTTTATCAAAGCATGTCAATCAAAGTAACAAAGTCAGAATCCGAACTGTGCCATTTATTTATTATTCCATTGTTTAATATGATATAAATTGGTTTGAAATCCCTGACAGAATCTGTTAAAATTTAAAAATATCAGCTAAAAAATAAATACAAGCAACAATTAAAAATTGAACTATCAACAAGAAATGAAAATTAAAAATTAAAACATTCCAAGCCAAGTTACTTTACGACGTTCCGATTGTTAGTATCTACAATCGTCTTCGGATGATGACTGGACTCAGATATCTGATATTTATAGGTCATTCGAGTGCTTCCTCTTTCCTTCGCCGCTTCATCGGTTTTAGCGGGAGCTGACCGTTTGGCGGGAGTTGGTCGTGTTCCGCTAGATTATAGGTTTCCATATGTTGCGTATCTCTACGCTAGATTGGCTGAATGCGTTGGTAAACAACATATATGCGGCTTTTTTTCTCCTAAAAAAGTGTTCCTCTTTGTAGATGATGTCACCTTGAGACCATTTGATGTTATGTTGATGAGTCCACATATGCTCTGCTATTCCTGAATTGCTGGTTTCTTCTCGCTGTGCATATTTCTTGTGCTCGGCAATTCGAACTTTTAATGGTCTCTAAGTTGCACCGATGTATGTTTCTCCGAACTCTCAGTGTATCCGGTAAATGCAATTCTTGGAATCACAGTCCGCGTTTGGTGGCCTGGTTTTCATGAAGCTGCTACGTATAGTGTTCCCAGATCTGGAGCAAGTTCTGTTGTTATACTTTGCCTTTCCGGAAAGGATACGAAGAATTGGGTCCAAGTATAACATCAGAACCTGCTTCAGATACTTTCCGGAAAGGATATGAAGAATTGGGTCCAAGTATAACATCAAAACCTGCTCTAGATCTGGGAACACTATCCGTAGCAACCCCACGAAAACCAAGCTACCTCACGAAAACCAAGCTACCAACCGCGGACTGCGATTCCAAGAATTGCATTTACCGGGTACCCTGCGAGTGCAGAGAATCATACATCGGTGAAACTTAGAGGCCATTGAAAGTTCTGAGAACAAGAAACACACACAGCGAGGAAAAACCTGCAAATCAGAAATAGCAGAGCATATTTGGACTCATCAACATAACATCAAGTGGTCTCAAGCTGACATCATCCACAAGGAGGAACACTGGTTCAGGAGAAAATTCAAAGAAGTTGCATATATGTTGTCCAACAACGCATTTACCCAAGCTAGCGTAGTGAAAGCTATCCCGTGAAAAACTCACAATAAAGTGTTATTTGAATACGTTTATAGATTTTTATCAAGTATGAGCCAATGCCATGACATATCTCAAATGACGTCAACGGCAATCCATAACTGGTGACGAATCATGGGTACATGATTATAACACCGAAACCAAAAGTCCAATCGTCCAAATAGAAGAGCTCAGGAGAGCCAAAACAAAAAGAACGCCAAAGTTTTGCTCACTGTTTTCTTCGATTGCCATGGCGTAGAGCATCAGAAGTCCTTGCCACATGGTTGAACGGTCAATAAAAAGTATTATCTTGAAGTTATGCGCTGCTTGCAAGAAGCAATACGAAGACAACGTCTGGTATTGTGGAAAACAATTCTTGGTTTTTGTATCATGATAATGCACCTGCTCACGCGTCATTGTTTCGTATTTTTTTTGGCCAAAATCAATACCGTAATCATGCCTCAGCCACCGTATTCACCAGATTTGTCCCTTGCGACTTTTTCCTGTTTCCAAGAGACGGCATTTTGTGACGATTGACAAAATAAAAATTGATGGACATATTAATATTTTTCGGGAAAACTGAAAATTCGACTTATTTTTTGAACAGACCTCGTAGATAACGAAAGGCAGTAGGTACTTTGGACAGGTGTTTGCTCCCTAGAAAATAATGATTAAATTTAATAAAAACCCAGTTCACTTTATTATTAATTCAACCATGACAATGAAAACTGCTACGATCGAAATGGAAAATAACCAAAAAATAGTAGTTAAATTAAAACTATTTGACTAAAAAATTCTATTCCATATTTCTCAAAATATCAGCGAAAGTCGTTACAGTAACTTTTTCCTTGTTTGTCTCAAATTATACTAAGTGACAAAGAAAGGTAAACACCCATTTATATTGAAAATATTTCAATAATGTTTATTTATGTTCAGGCCAGTAAAAAGCCAGTAAAATTTCAGCCGTATCGAAAGCTATTCTGACCAGTTTTTTAATTTTTTTTGTGTGAGCATTTACCATTTTCCAATTTTTATTCGTATTTGTGCTTTAACTGTTGAAGAATTTGTTGTGAAGTGTTTCGTATTGTTAACACTATGAATAAATTGATGGATGTAGCCGTTACTACGTGGTAGGCGATCATAATGAAAAGAGAAATGAAAATTTCTATGTTTTTTACCACTTTTAATTGTAACTAACGTTACTGCAGTTTCGTCCATATAAAAGTGGTGAAAACATAGAAATTTTCATTTCTCTTTTCGTTAACACTATGCCTTAAGTGCGAAGACTTCGTCGCATTCCTCAACTTGATGATTTTGAGAGAGGGCGAATTGTTGGCTTACGTGAAGCAGTTTTTTCAGTAAGAGAAATTTCAAGAAGAATCAATCGATCTTTGCGTACTATTCTAAGATGGTATCAGGCATGGACCCAAGAAGGCCACGAACACAGAACTAGGAGCACCGGTTGTCGCAGGGGAACAACAGCGCGTGAGGATCGCCAATTAAACATTTGGCTCTTAAGGTGCGTATTCACCAAAAAAGCGAGCATGAGCGAACAAGAGTGAACGAGCATTCTGCATCAATAATCAATAATGAGCGACCACGAGCAAACATACACGAATGCTCGCTTTTGCTCGCTCATGCTGACTTTTTTGAAGAATACGCACCTTCTGACAAATTTATCGCGCACGCACTGCTCGCACAAAGTAGATGGATCAACTACGATTACGAACTTGAAGATATTCGCTCTGGTGTGGACGCTCATGCTCATTCGTGCTCGCTTTTTTGGTGAATACGCACCTTCAGGGATCGGTTCATTTCTATTAAGGTGCGTATTCACCAAAAAAGCGAGCACGAGCGAACAAGAGTGAATAAGAGTGAACGAGCATTCTGCATCAATAATCAATAATGAGCGAACACGACCAAACATACACGAATGCTCGCTCATGCTCGAACAAAGTAGATGGATCAGCTACGACTACGAACTTGTAGATATTTGCTCTGGTGTGGACGAGACATCAATATGTCGAGCAAACACGAGCAAATGCGTACAGTATATCGGCGAATGTGAAGTTTGTGACTTTTTTCTTATCATCCCCATTGGGTGTTGTCACTGACTCTCGAGCATCGACGCAACCGATTGAACTGGTGCAGAGACATAATAAATTGGGATCAACAGTGGAATCGCGTAGTCTTCAGCGATGAATCTCGCATTTGTCTGGGTATGCACGATGGACGAGCAAGCGTAAGAAAGCGTCATGGTGAAAGACGAGATCTCCAGTTTGATGTGCAGAGGCATGTTGGTTTAATAGTATGAGGTGCCATTGCATATGGTAGCAGGACATCTTTAGTCTTCAATAGAGGCAACATGACAGCTTTTCGTTACATTCACGTAGTAGTTCCATATCTTGAGACCATCGGGGACCCCATATTTCAATAAAACAACGCATGTGGCTAGAGTTAGGAATCACACGTTAAAAGATAAGACCTCGTTACTCCTTAGCTCGCACAAGATTCTCAACTTCTGAGAGTTGTCGTTCGTATGGGGGTGACAGCTGATTAACGGAAAAACAGATGTTAAACAGATTTAAACATATTTTAACTTCATGGATCAGCATGACATTAACTGCTCACCATGGCCACCCAGATCGCCCGACCTTTCACCGATCGAACATGTGGCATATTCTAGGTCACAGACTGCTGAATTTACAACATCCCCACAGACTTTGGCAGCACTTACACATGAGTTAGAAGTAGGGTGGAATGAGATACCCCAACATGATATAGACCACCTTATCAGGACAATGCCCAGTCGTATCCACGAGCGAATAAGACATCGAGGATCTGCAACACTACTGAACTTTACTGGTTTCACAATCATCCAATTTCTCTGAAAACTCACTCGTTTGTTTGCTATTATCTGTCAAGTATGTAAGTAAAAAATTATTGAAATATTTCCATAATAAATGGGTGTTTACCTTTCTTCGTCACTTGGTATATAATGTTGTAAGCGACCTTACTCGACTGCGCACATATAGCAGAACAAATATGCCAACTTTTTTTCTGTTATAGTTTCATATCAGCATGTAACAAATGAATGGCATTCAATGAATTTTACTCAAAAAAAGTATGTTCACAATTATCGATTTTAAATTTGAAATAGATATACTAGACTTCCAAAATAGTAGGTACTAAATTCTCAGAAGTGACCGCCTTTCTTGCCTCAATGTGTCACTTACAGTGGCCTAGGGAAATTATACTAAAACGGTGATGAAAAATGATGATAAAATATATAGAATGACAACCTTGACAACAAAGTTTTCGTTTTAATGCAATATTTCTGAGAATTTAGTGCCTACTATAATGGGAAGTTATACTATAAGTGACTATCTAGCGAACTAATCCTTCAAAATGATTTACTAGGTAAAACAAAACTAACGCAGTTTCAACCTTTCTTCATTATCTGTGCCGCATCGACTTGTGAAGCGGCTTGAATATATTTACTGGCGCTATAGTTTTATTTTGATATAACTCCTAAATATTGATTTAAATTATTTCGTAATAAACAAAATCTGGTGATATATCAATTATTTGGATATAGATGATTTACTGGTATGAATACACTCCGCGTTGGTTCATAACAATCTCTTTCATATAAAATAAACAACCATTGATATCGATATTGATAGGTCTGATAGTTTTTCACTTCATTTTTCCCATCTGTTATCCGTTTTCTGAATGAATTGTTACTGCCAAATATTCTCTCCTATCTATATTGCTACACTACAATAATGATGGAACCCAAAAATAAATGAGGTTTATTGATCATCAGTTCAAACGATTATCCCAAGCAATTACAGGAATATACAGTGTGTCTCACTGTAAATGGCTACCCTCATATTTTTGTTGTTGAAAATACTATATCTATATTGAAGGGATAGTGGACATTCCAAAATAGAACAACTTGATTGACAAAAAAATTTATCACATTCAGTGGAAATACTACGTTTCCCACTGAAATATACAAAATGTCTTTCTTTCTCCGCCATCAGAGACTATTTGAAAATTAAAATGAAGTATAAACTTTTTCGAAAAAATATTATAATGTAGCAAGCAGTCACGAGAATTTTCACATGTAAAAATGTGTTTCTCAACTCTTTCTTCCACGAGTAATTTTCTAGATTTTTCGAATATATTTTGTACAAAGGAGTTTTTGGGGATGCTGATGGTGAATATGAAATCTATTTTGATTTTTTATCAACCTCAAATATAATTTTTGCGCACATTGGACCCAATTGGACACCCGATAAAACAATACGTAAATGCAATATTCCATTTTCTTTTCTTCAACCAAATTGTCATGTCCTCCAACTCTCTGAAGTTGTTCCAAACTATATTATCAACAATATAGGTATTAGAATGATTATATAAGAAGTTGGACACTTTGTTTATGAGGATTGAAACCAAAAAAACCGTCCCTCAACATCCAGCCTAATCAGAATTTTGATAGGTGGGTATGAGGATGGTTCTCTCAGAAATTGGACCCATTGTTTATGAGGATTGGAACCGAAGAAACCGAACCTCAACATCCAGCCCAGTCATAATTTCGATAGGTGGACGAACTATTCATTGGTCGGTCGGTTATCAGATGATTTATGATCGACAAAGATTGAGAAAATTGAACAGCATCAAAGATATTATATTCAAAACGGTTATAAGATAGCTAGTGAATCAACCGCTTCTGTGAATGCGGCATCGATTCATACTCTAGAACAGTCTAGGACGGTGGGTGTTCACAGCGTATTATCTGATCACTGCTAGAAATCGCACGTTGAAAGGTAAGATTTCGTTAATCCTCAGCTTCCACTTTTTTGAAAAAACAAGTTCAGTAATGGTGATCTACTCAAATCCAGTTTTTTTTAAACACTATTCAATTCATAAAAGTAGTACAATAATAGTAGTAGAACTCAACTATATTATCACAGTGTGAGAATTTATTAAAGGAAATAAATATTATGCGAAAAATCAACAATATTACCAGTCTGTATCATATTACACCTACATCTTTGAAGTGTATCTATAAAACCAGTTGGTCATTCATTAAACTGTTTGAATTTTTAAGTTCACTAATTTCCATTACTTCCAAATGATTCATTTTCAAAACTTCATTTTTTATGTATAAAATTTCGAACTCTTCGTTGATGATATGATTTTCTTCTAAAAGATGATTTGAATATGTTGAACTTGATCGATTCCTAAATGTTCTGCCAGTTTGACCAATATATACCTTAGGCCACGTTCCAGACTTCAATTTAACTCCTGATTTCTCGAATTAGGATAATTTAACTAACTTTCCCAATGTATTACTTTATGCAATTTTAATATCTCGTTTCCTCAAAAATTAAGCCATTTTTTTCGTTGTTTGTCCAAAATACGGTTAAACTCTATAATTTTGATCTTGATTATCTAACTCATCAATAGGAAAAACGAATCGAATCGCTTTTGCGTAGACTTTTTTGGAAAGTATTTTGTTTATTAATTCGGCTTTAAACCCATTTTTTACTGCAATTTGCTTGATAATATTAAGTTTTTTATTGAAAGTATCTATTGAAAGAGGAACATTGACTAATCTGTGAATCATGCTATTATGAGCTGCTACTTTGTGTTGACATGGATGGGTAGAATCGTAATGTATAGTAATATATGTATAGGACGGTTTGTGATAAATTGAAAAATCATGTTGTTGTTCTTTCTACTAATTGTTAAGTCCCAGAAATTGATTGAGTTGCCTGCTTCTACTTCAATAGTGAATTTAATGTTTACATGAATTTTGGTAATATCCCTATGAAAAGTATCTTATTGTCTCTTAATACCTGTAAAACATACCAAAAAGTCATTCACATATCTATGCCAATACAAGAAATTATTAATCAAAAAACGTTTAAAAATCGACTTCTCTAGGTTATCCATGAAAATTTCCGCAAGTAGGGGGCTTAACGGTTTTCCCATAATTAAACCTTTTTGAGACCAATATATTGTTATTGAACTGAAAATATCAATCAGAAAAAAAACGTTAATGACCTTTTCTATTTTACTATTCACTCAGAGAACACAAACTTTTTCAAGCTCGTAATGGAATTAATTCGAATAACAGATTGTGTATAAATCTACATATTGGAATTAGAATCAAGAATCGAAATCAAATGATATTGCCCTGAGAAACCCGCGGAAATATTCTGGATGACTAGTTCCTACACATACGTTAGAGACAATTTCATTTTGGGTTTCAAAATTTGTATTAACTTGAAGAAAATTTCGCGCGAAGAAGAACAATATACTGCTAGTATGCTCGACACATTTTACTCCAGCAATGCGTTGTGGGTTCAGCCTAGCACCAATGATGAGACTTATGGCCAATATAAATAGCGCTGTCTGGTGTTGAATCATGAATGTTTTATTTGTGTGCTCTTGTTTCAACTGTAATCTAACATTTGGTGCAGAAAGCATTTATTTAAATTATTTATTTTTCCTTCTAGCCTTCAATGACGATGCCGCATCCTACTGCGCTAACATCGGAGGACAGTGTAACAAAATTATCAGCAGAACATGTAGAAAGTTCAATGAAATGTATCCGAATCTACCGCCAATGAACCTCAAGAAATTTATACGAATACATAATACTGAAAACAAAAACATCGCCTCTACATACTCAGACTTGTCCTTTCAGTACATTTTACTCCAGCAATGCGTTCTGGGTTCAGCCTAGCACCACTGATGAGACCTATGGCCAATATAAATAGCGCTGTCTGGTGTTGAATCATGAATGTTTTATTTGTGTGCTCTTGTTTCAACTGCAATCTAACATTTGGTGCAGAAAGCATTTATTTAAATTATTTATTTTTCCTTCTAGCCTTCAATGACGATGCCGCATCCTACTGCGCTAACATCGGTACACGCAGCGTCGTTGCCACATTTCTTACCGAGTCCTGCCTTGGCTTCTCCCGTGGGTTCGTCTTCGTCACAGCCCGGCATCGGAGTAAGCAACCCTCCTTGTTCCACACTATTCGTGGCCAATCTGGGACAATTCGTGTCCGAACACGAGCTCAAGGAAATATTCGCCAGGTTTGTACAAAACATATTCATTCTTCATAAAGTTAAGACACAATTTCATTCGGACAGTCTTTTTCAAATCGGTGCAAGGTATAGTGATGATTGAGAATTCATTTGTTGAAAGCGTTTAGAAATGTTCAATCAAATATGACAATTGAATATATTTTCTTCTCCCACACCAAGTGATACTAGTATATCCTCCTATTTAACGGGTTCCGCCTGTTTAAAAATCTGTTTAAAATCTGTTTAAAATCTGTTTTCCGTTAACCAGCTGTCGCACCCCTACGAACGACAACCCTCAGAAGTCGAAACTTGTGCGAACTAAGGATTAACGAGGTCTTACCTTTTAACGTGTGATTCCTAACACGGAATCACTAATTCGAGTATATGAACAATAATTTTTCCTGAAGGACTTGACCAATCTAAGCGCGCTGCTGTCATTATTCTGAATTATTTTACAGCTTTTTTATGGGTAGGAAATTGCTATGAGAATTATATATTGTGACTAATCACCAGTATCGATTAACGGAGTGCGATAATGACGCATTCTGATTTTTTGTTCGATTGATTCACTAGCAAAAATAAGACCACATTGTGGTGTTTATTATAGTCCACTCTGTAGAAGATTTTCGTCAAACGATTAACGGTGCATATCGTCGAATCTCTCCAGAAATGCTTCGGAATATACGTTTCTAACATTTTTGTTCGGACTAGGCAAGACCTCTTTGATGAATAAATTCAAAAACAATTCAACAGGTTATCAGTAACTGTGTAACTTTGGAGATGTAACAGTTTTCCTATTCACGCCGGGTAAAGGCCGGAGTAAACCGAAGGCCTTTATGATATATCATTTGGTCAAAATTAGTATTAAACTAAAAAATTCTTGTCATTTGTGGTCGAAACTATTTCTGATATCAGTTTCTCGAAGTAAATACTTATAGACAGTATTGTGAAATGGTGTAAGTATGGATGATTGTCACTTCTTTCTAATCAACGTTTTGCTTGAAAGTTTCGAATATGCCATCATTCATAGTTATTCTGTGGTCCAGTCACTTTGCTATGCTTTGCACAGTAATATCAAAAATCATGAAGAAAGCCGTAAACCAACATATCCCTAAATATTTGGAAAGCTTCAAATTCTTGAGCGGTCCTTCTATCGTGACCTTCTATCGTGTCACCCATTTTTGGAATAACGCAATCGAGAAACATGGAGAGTCAAGAGCTGTTGCGCTTGATATTTCTAAGGCCTTTGACCATGTGTGACATGAGGGTTTGCTGGCCAAACTTTGATGATATGGTTTGTCGAATCATTTTTTGTATGGCTCTCCAGCTTTCTGAAAGAACATTCCCTACAAATGGCCGTCGATGGATATCTCTCGAATACTTTTACCATCAACACTGGTGTTTTTATTGTATATCAACGAATTATTGGAAAAAACTAAGAATCCAATATATTGCTTTGCTGAAAACAGCACACTTATCTCGTCATTACATTTGGATTCCGGCACATTGGCTGTGGATACCCATCTTCACCGGCAGCAGGAGGTTGTATATCTCAATATGAATCTAGAGATGATTTCGAATTGGGGGTTCAATCCAATGCTATGATAACCAACGCATCAGTTTTCTTCAAAAAGACAAATGTTTCCGAAACGGATATAATAATTTCAGGACAGACAATTTCGCCTTCTGCTTCAATATGTTTTTTGGTGGTTGAAATGAACACCAATCGTGTCGTTGGAATTGCAAAGGTTACTTCTCAACGCTTGGAACACTGTTCCGAACCGTAAAAATGTGCACACCTCCTCAGCAACTCTGGATGCTTTATAAACCTCATATCAGACCTTCTTTGTAGTATGGAGCTCTGAAGTTGCTAGATTGCTCCAGAAAAGAGCCATCCATCTGATGGAGACGCGAACATCCCTTGCAACCTTGATAGCCTGGAACATCGAAAAAAAGTTAGAGACTTGTCTCTCTTCTATAGATACTTTCACGGAAGATGTTCAAGTGACTTGGCACATTTGATCCCACCAAGAGCGTCACATACCAGAAATACGCGACGGACTGTGGCTGCTCCTCGTTTTGAGTTTCAACTCGGTATACTTCGAACTTCACTGTTCAAGAACTCTTTCATTTGGAGAACTGCGTTTATGTGGAATAAACTTCCTGGATTTAATCTCTAGCCATTTGAATCAAATGTGAATCGCTGCTTTCCCACAGGCACCGCTCTTAGAGCGCCTCAAGGATTATCCTATATTGCTTGAAAAAAATCATAATACAATTCCGAAGCATCAATAAGAATATGTCAATTATAGTAATGCAATGGAAATATGTGTGAAAATTCCTCCTGTGACTAATGTTATGTTAGCACCCAAACAAATGGACACCGTATTACAACAGCACATATCCGTTACTTGCTATTGTTTTCGTCAGACTTCGAGATATAAATCCAGTCAATTGTTTCGTAATGATAACATTAATTAGAAAGTGTTTTTCATCACTACACCTTGTACTGTTTTCGTGTTGTTCTTTGCTAACTCCATAATTATGCCAATGACGATTGGTACATATAAAAAAGTATTACTTTATAGAGGGCGCTCCATTTATTCGAAACTTTCTCCAGTCATTTATATGAGTTGAAAATGTTTCAATTTCTTCAGAAGAAACTTATTTGAAAGGAATGTTTCATAAATTCCAGATATACCGATGACAACTACCCTTATTGAATGATGTCCAAATCATCAATACAAAAAATGTCGTCAGAAAATCATAAAAATGTTGCATTTTTTGGGTATATACCAAGCGGTTGAAAAGTTATGCCGAATAGTTGATCTATTGAACCAACCCTATTTTCAGAGTGTGTGATTTAATGGAGATATTTAAAAAGCGCAGTTTTTATCTTATCGGATAATAAATTGACCATAATCTTTTATCAAATACTGCGTGAATTGAAACTCAAAAACTAATTTTTCTTGTTTTCTTGTGAACTAATGCATTACATACGAGAGCAGTCCAAAAAGTACTTAGCCTCACCGCCCGATGGCGCCACTAACGCAAGTGTAACTCGAAAACTAATTTTTCTTGTTTCTTTTATTGGAACACTGAATGTTTAATTCGAAATCTGATCTAGTGGTTCGAAAGGTAGATACAAAAATAGAATCATGAAATTATTTTCAACTTCAAAGTTGTCCAGTAAAAACTTCGATAACAAAATTTCACGGTGAAATTAATTCGAAATTAATATGAGATCTTCAAGAGGCTCAATCTTGATATCACAAAGACTGTTTTGAACACAAAAAAATCATGAAAATTATTGAAAATTTTTATAGGAAAATACGAAATAATCTACAAATAGTTAACACAAAGGAGCCATCTATGGGATGGACAGAAAAGTCAATCTTCGAATATCAAAGATACACGAGGCTCCTCAAGGCGGCCAGTTGCAAAGACAAACTTCGACATCGATCGCCGACGAGATTCGTCCTCTTTTGTTCACTGCAGCTTTCACTGCAAGGCAACTAGTTGAAAATCAGAGCCTAAACACAACGCATTTATGATTCAACCAGACAGCGTTGTTTCGATCCGTCATAGGTCTCATCAGTGATGCTAGGCTGAACCACAAATGCGTTGCTGGACTCAACTGTTTTTGAAAGATACGTCTGAATAAGTGAGGTCGGTGACATCTCCTCTATATAGAGTGTTTCAAATTTGATCCTCACCATTGGGATCTCGGAAACTATGAGAGATACAAAGATGGTTCAATTGGGGCAAAGTTGCGCATTTACCCGACTAACAATATGCCGTTGAAAGTTCTGAAATTCCGAGTAGAATCAAAGTCAAAGGCTATTATGACTAGAATTAATATTTTTCAGCATCATTGAAAAGGTAAAATCTGATTCTATTCAAAACAGAAAGAATCCAATGTAGCGCCTATAAGAAGAAATGAAGTTGATGATGGTGGCCGGAAGACGAAACGGATAGCAAATCTGGAAATACGATTATGTAGCAGGGAAAAGTGATAATAATGTGGAAGTGCAATTTATTTTCGAATTATTCGAAAAATAAAGCCAGAAAAAAATAAAAACCATTTTCCGAAGTTTCTGTTTTTTTCGAATTTCTCCGAATATACTCGGAATTTCAGAACTTTCTCAACGGCATATTGTTAGTCAGGTAAATTCCCAACTCTGCCCCAATTGAACCATCTTCGTATCTCGCATAGTTTCCGAGATCCCAATGGTGAGAAACGAATTCGAAACACTTTGTATATAGACACGCCTAAAAAAGCTATTGTATAGCGAAACACGAATTGCATTTTTGTAAAACTGTTCAGTGAAAATCTCACGATGAAGTGTTTCTTGAATATGTACTTATATAGATGTATACTATCCGATAAGTCTTACTCAACGTAACAGTTTTGCATGATTTGGACTATTTTCAAGAAGGGTAATTTTCGTTTGAAAATACGGAAGCTTGGATGGTTTATCTTATTCAGTTTTTTTATTTCGATTTCAATTCATAATTTCGATATTTAAAAAACGGACCTGAAGATTTCCATCTTAGTTTCCGTACAATACGTATTTCATCAGTGTGAAAATATCACAGTATTCATCAACTACTACCCCTAGTCATAAAAAATCCGTTATTTGTATGGCACACCCTGTATATCCATCAATGTTGTTTGAAGTTATGGTATTGGCGCGAGCACCTCCGTTTCACTTTTACTCTGAAGTTTTTTGGGTGCCGCATGTTATCTATTTAATAGGTGATTTTGTTTAAGTGATGAGGGTCTGCTCTATCTAACACGCACTCGAAATATCATGTATGTGTACCCTCGCACACCCTGTAGATTAGCAGTAGCTCAGTGTTGCCGTGTTTTGAATGCTTTCCCTTAACCCTACCCTTCTTCCCATATCGTTAGTATCGCTTTCGTTGAGTTCAAACATAAGTGCTAATGATGTGAATCTCCAGCAAATAATTATCAAAATATATAGTCAAAAACTTTTGTAAAATCA